GTCGAACGCGGTGTGTAGAGGAGGAAGGGTGCACAGATGGTGGAGGAGTGAAGCGCGCGCGGTGTGTAGAGGAGGAAGGGATGCACAGATGGTGGAAGAGTGGGCGACGGCGCGACGGCGCATGCGCGCGCGTCAGCGTTCGAATGTTCGAGAAGCGGTGCGGACGGCGCGGACGGCGCACTACAAGGCGCGAGTATAAGATGCTTCCGCATCTAAAAAAATAAATATAGTTTTTGGGTCATTAGGTATTACGGCTTGGTTGCGCTAGCCACCGCCCGATCTAAAGGGTACAGCCATTTCCATCTATCCATTTATTATTACGGCGACAAGCAGTACCTACCTTTTTCCTTCCTCCGTGGCACGGAGGAAGGAAAAAGGTAAGGAGAGGGCATGCCCAGCCGGTGCAGGGCGTAAAAAGTGTGGCGGAAATGACATCATGGCAGCCATTATCAGTAGGCACAATGGCGGCATTGTTATGGTTACGTGTTGCGCAGTGAAGCTGGTCTAGCAGTGAGCGGCCGCGGCTGGCGGCGGAATGTGTGCCTCCCCAGGTCTCGGGCTGAGCCGTGGCGGACAATATCTGTGCTCTGCGCCGCGTTATTGGTTACGCAGTGTTCGTCTGGCTGTTACATTACTCTTAGCAACGTTTACAAATCTCTTTGTCCATCACGGGGTTTCAACAGTGCGTAGAACAAGTGCATATCCATGTGTCGTGCGGCGGATGACGGGGATGAAGCAGTTAGTGTTCAGCGAAATGGCGTTGGGCACCATGACGATGCTGAATGACGACGAACGCCTTGCAGGTCAGTGACGGTTGAGCAGTGCTCCTGCTTGTGACAACGGACGACGCTGTTGAGCCCAGCAAGACGCCGTGAGGATCATGTGCACATACGTAGTTTCGTGTTGTGTGTGTACAGTAACAACTTGCATGTGCGTATTAAAACACCTTTTCTGTTCCGCTTGGTACACTCTCCACCAGCATTGCATGTAATCTCAACGTAACAGCAACCACGTTCAAGTGTCACTAGCACCGTGCTCAAAGTCACCACGGTCACAGAATGCTGACGCAGGTGAGTTTCACACGGACACAGTGGCAGGACGCTGCGTCAGTCGCTTGGCGGAATGCAACCGTAGAAGGCACACGACCGATCGTGTTGTCTGTACAGTTGCTGAATTAATGACGTGAAAGCACTCCCCGTTGTCAGTGCATCTAGCGCGCGTTCTCTCGTAGTTGCTTCGTTGCCAGCGAGCTGTTACTCTTTGTTATTACTCGGACGAAGCGATTTCGCTGAAGGTGTCCCGCTGGCTCTGAGTGATGAGCCCAGTTCCATTAGTTTCGGATCGTCACGACACACGCGCTGCGCAGCCCACGTGCTTTCCGAGCCGGAGAGGGAGTCGCGTCTTCTGCTTCGCATTTATATGTAAACAAGAGAGGAGAATTTGCCTACTCAATATGGCCGACTTCCGGCTTCATCGCGGCTTCACAACGAGTGACGTCAGGGCCTCTCCTTACCTTTTCCTTCCTCCGTGGGCTGTACCAGACAACGTTTCTAGACTAGGTAAGTTGCAAAACTCCCCGCGTCAGACTACTCGGCACACGGCGCCGACACAGCTTTTTGGTGGCGCTGGCGGCGCAACAAGCTTTTGCTAGCAGACGAAAACGCGTAGCCGTCGTGGCAAGACGCCGTGGCGGCTGTTCTGAAAGAGCTTACCAACAGTATATTATCGAGATTTGCCGTGCCGGAGAAACCTAATACTGCGTAATATTTAGTGGTGTAAGGCAAATACAGTATAATTATGGTTTTCTGAACTGCCCACAACAAACATTGCTTGATATATATAGCATAACATACGAGTCTGCCGGTTAGTTGCTAGTTGGTGTACGTTCGCAATAGATTTTTAGACGCGAAAAACCCAATTACAATGTCTGGCATCCTCTTTTGTGGCTGTGTTTTTCGGGCTTGAAACTAAATTACAACAATGTGGCGCAATCTTGTGGCTTTTATCTGGTTATGTAGTCAGTTTTTTTTTTTTTTCATGTCAGTCACATTCTTTAGCCATTTAGACCGTCAAAAAGCTACGCGTGCGGCCATTTTCTTGAGCATGTCTTCCCTCTGCTTCTTCTGGAGTTCCTCTAATGAAACCTAATAACACAGCTGCAGCCAAAGCTTCGAGCAAAGACCGCACTTTGGGGTATCGGTGAGCACTTCGTAGTAATTATTCACGAGTCTGCCTGCTGGCGCATTGGGACAACATGCCCCGCCGCGGTGGTGTAGTGGCTAGGGTAGTCGGCTGCTGACCCGCAGGTCGTGGGATCGAATCTTGTCTGCAGCGGCTGCATTTCCGATGGAGGTGGAAATGCTGTAGGCCCGTGTGCTCAGATTTGGGTGCACGTTGAAGAACCCCAGGTGGTCAAAATTTTCGGAGCTCTCCACTACGGCGTCTCTCATAATCATATGGTGGTTTTGGGACGTTAAACCTCACTTATCACTCAATTGGGACAACATGAACACACTTGCAGCTTTTCTATGTCCTCCAGAAGTTCGGCCCATTGGGTGATGGTTTCTGCATTACCAGGCGACTTAGCTAAGTGATGGTGACGGCTGCTAATGGTGACTGTCATGTCTTCTGCGACGACAACGCATTTCTCCACAAATAGCGCTTTTTTTTTCTTTGAGCCCTAGAAACACCACAACACATCCTGTCTCGCCATTCTCAACTACTTTCCGCCAGCATGCAAAATAATGTTTTCTATGTCTTGAAGCGAAATGACGCCACTAGTTGACGGCATGTCGAGACCTATTTTACTGTATTCGAGCTCAGTGCTCGGAGATAGTCTATTCTTTTTCACCGATGATATTGACACGTGCGGTTCTTTTCGTTTGCGAAGGAAGACGCTATCACTTTCTGTTAAGCGCAACGCAGGCCGCGTTTATCTTGTATGCCACTCTGGAACGCGTTACGATGCGTGTATAAAAACTGACACATGCAGCATGTGACACATGCTGGCGACGAAACTGCGGAGACGTTGGGTCCTGGTGTTGGCGAGGAGCGGCGACAGGTCGTCGTGCAGTAGCGGCGTAGGTCATCGCCTCCGGTTGGGGCTGTGGCCGTTCAGGAACGCTCAGTGAGCGCTGTAGTTCCTCGCGGACTACGTCTTCGAGAGAGGCGACTTGGGGCTGAGACGATGGCAACATGCGGCGCAGTTCTTCACGAACAATAGCGCGTATGGTCTCGCGCAGGTCGTCGGGGCAGAGTCCTCGGACTTCTGCGACGTCTGGCGACATGCGCCGATCGTATTGGCTGGTCCGCATTTCAAGAGTCTTCTCGATGGTGGTAGCCTCGGAGAGGAACTCTTGTACCGTCTTTGGCGGGGTTCTGATCAGTCCGGCGAAGAGCTCCTGCTTCACTCCTCGCATAAGCAGGCGAACCTTCTTGTCCTCTGACATGTCGGCGTCGGCGTGGCGGAAAAGTCGCGTCATCTCCTCCGTGAAGATCGTTACGTTTTCGTTGGGGAGCTGCACCCGAGTTTCAAGCAGTGATGCGGCTCTTTCCTTCCGCACGACGCTTGCAAAGGTGCGCAGAAAAGCAACGCGGAAGTCGTCCCAGGTTCGAAGCGTTGACTCGCGGTTCTCGAACCAAGTCCTTGCGGCGTCTTCCAGGTAAAAATACACATGACGCAGCTTGTTGTCCGGGTCCCACTTATTGAGGGCTGCGACGCGGTCGTAAATGTCAAGCCAGCTTTCCGGGTCTTCGTAGGTCAATCCGCGGAAGGTAGGCGGCTCTTTGGGCTGGTTGACGACCACGGTTGCCGAAGACCTTGCTTCCGTCATCGTGGATGCCGGCTTTGTAGCAGCCTTTGTTTTCTTGTCCTTGTCGGGGAGCGGCAGGTATTCGGGCGGTAGTCCTTGTTGTCTTCGGCTCACTCGAATGACCGGGTCGGCGGCGTCCTCTTGGCGGCTTGGGCTTGGCTCACGGCTGGACGGGGGCGTACGGTACATGGACAGAGAAGCACCTCCACCAGATGTCACGAGGTTGTGATACACGCAGCACTTGAGAGGAAGCACGCAGGAGTCAGGGCGGTGTCAGGCGAACTGTTTATTGGGCGAACTTGTGCCCAGCAAAACAGGGCCAAACACAACTCACAGCAACAGCGGCGTGAACAGTCGTCGGCCGACGGAGAAAAAAAAAAAAAGACCCCCAGTGGCGCACTGCGCCGGCTTTTTATACACGCATCGTAACGCGTTCCAGAGTGGCATACAAGATAAACGCGGCCTGCGTTGCGCTTAACAGAAAGTGATAGCGTCTTCCTTCGTAAACCAAAAGAACCGCACGTGTCAATATTCCGGAAAATACCCCACTCCTATCGAGCAGTTTTCGCTTCTTTGTCGCGGACCCCGCGACAAAGGTAAGCGGGCGAATTCGGGAATATTCATGGAACGCATCCTTCGACGAGGTCCCACTTTTCTCTTTCAATTTGTACCTTCTTACCATATGACGTGAGCGAAAGTTTTCAGGATGTCCTTCTCATGAAAGTACATATCACACACACGTGAGGTGCTGAGGCAGTTTCTTATCTGCACGAGGAATAGTGTGGTCCCACACCTCTCGCTGCTCAGGTACACGTGGGCACAAAAGAAATGTCGTGGTGTCTCTTATTTCCTGCAGCTACTCTACAGCCGAGAACGCAACATCCGGGCATGATGGATGCGACAGCAGCGCCATATTTGTCGCTAGCAGCGGCGGCGCTGCGCAACATCACTCAGTTTTGCAACTTACCTAGTCTAGAAACGTTGGTACCAAATAAGCGTTTTTCATCTGCGGCCCATAGGAGCGCGTCAGTCGAGAGTTGTTCAAGACCTGCAACTATGCACCACTGTTTCAGAGGCTATGCAAAGTGTTGCATTGTTGCACCGTCCGCCACAAGTGACGCTAGCGACCGAAAACATTTTTTTTTTTTTTCATGCGGCAGGCACCTTTCCTTCCTCCGTGTTCCTAGAGGAGGCGTTGGTCGAGCAATGCGACTGTCGCGTTTCCGAGGAGCACACATCTAGCCATCTAGCAGCAGAGCAGCCGTAGTCGCTCAAGTGTTTTGGCGCCGAAGTGGAAGCGGCCTGGATGGAGAGGACGGGTGACTAACACCGTCGCGCAACTCTTTCCAGGCAGGCTACATGCGAACCCGCGCTGACATGAAGCTCGTAGAACAAACTGTCAAGAGCTTCCGCGTTGCCAAAGTGTTCAGAGAAAACTCAGACCGCATTAACAGCATTGACTTTTCACCCACTGGAGAGACGCTCATCTCCAGTTCGGATGATGACTCCATCGTCATATACGATTGTGAGAAAGGAACGTAAGTTAAAGGACTCGCTGCATAAAGTTTGTACGGCTTTTTTGATGCCCGTGCCGCGGCAAGCCCTGTGCGTAGTGGAATTATGTAAACAATACCGCTGATAGGCCTAAGTCGCGTAGGCCTAGTTCGATTACGGCTTCGAAGGCCGGCGCTCGACCTACCCTACTCCGGCAGCCTTGCTGTCAGTGTTTGCTACTGGAAGCTTTACGACATACTTCGGTGCTTCCGCAGCCCGTAACTCCGGCGTGCTGCCACTAGAAAGCAGCGCAACGTTTATAGAGTTCGTGTTCTAATCGCAAACACGGCCACCGACATGAGGAGTGGGCGGCTGAACCGCATTTCATGCCGTTTTTCGGGCCCATTCCCTAAAACGCGAGAGAGCAGGGAAGTTCTTTGAGATGTCGCGGCGCGGTGGATCAGTGGCCTAAAGCGTGGTGTATGTGCGTCGCCTGCCGTTGGCTTACGTAACGTGCGCGTTCTGCTTCCACATGTGCCTCGAAGTTGTGTTTGATATGGCGGTGACTTGATGCCAGTCGTTGGCGCAGTCTCGTCTGGCACGGGTGTTTCCGGCGACCGCATGTCTCTTAGTGCGCGCAACCCCAGATGTCTATACCAACCGGTCAAATGAACGCGGCTAATGCATATTGCCATTCATGTTTCTATTTTTAATTTTGCCTACTGTTGCTACCTGTCAGAAATCTATGTCGTTGCCAATCTGGCCTTGGATTTTGAGTTCGAGTTCTTTTTTTTTCTTATTTGATTCTTTCACTGGTTAAAGCCGGTCTATCCTTTTGTGTGTGGTCGTTAGTGGTGAGTAGTGGCTTTGATAAAAACACGGCGTCGGATAGTTGCCGAGTACAAGCTTGGAGAACTTTGATGAGTATTCTTAATATGTGTGTTAGTGTTTAATATGTGTGGTATGATTGATGGGTGTCACAACCGTCCTGCGTTGTGTTTACTGTTTCGTGCCTCAGAATGTGTTGTCAGATATTCATAATAGTAGCTGGCATGCCTGATGTTCAGGTCGGTAGATCGGCGGTCATTACAAAACTAGCCCTGTGTAGTTAAGTTAGGTGACCAGCTCTGCACTGCATTTGAGATGCTTGCCAAGAACCGCTGGGTTTTTGCACTGATACCATGTTGCACCAGCAAAACTGTAAAAAGTGAGGCGCAAAAGATGGGGCAAGGAGACAAGTAGAACGGGTGCTCCTTGCCATCTGATTTTCTTACGAAAGAATTGTGGGAAATATACAGATAGTACGTCACTAACGTGGCTATGCACACATTACTAGGCTACTCATCCCAAAATCTAATGCATATTGTGACAAAGCAATCGAAATTTGCACTCCCGCAAATGCACCTACATCTGGCTGACCCAATTTGCGTTGATCATATTTATGTAGAATGCCTCCAACAGCTAAGGTACAGCCATTTCCCGGCTGTGTCCCAGCACCTTCAATCTGGTGAACAAGAGCACACACTGCATAGGAGGATTGTTTGAGAGCGTCAACTCATGCTCACGGGCCGCTGGCCTACACGCTTGGTGGCCACTTTGCCACAGCTCAATGGCAGTTCATAACTACCCCCACTGCACAGTTCATGTAACGCCTATCATGCTTAATTCCACGATTTGTCTTATTTTTAACTTCACCAGAGATATGCTTACACAGCTTTGACAAGATGGCACTGATAAAGTAATTTTCAAGTTGTGCCCATTCACAACTTTCTTGTGGTTATGTGCTATTTTGTGGATATTGGGTGTCACGTCAAACCTGGTGTGATATCTGTGTGTATTTTTTGGCATTTTGCCTCCTGTAGTAATGAATCCATGGTAGCCACCAGCATAGTATCTAAATTCCCCGACGACTGCAGTGTGTGGCTGGCTGTGTGTCTTTGTTTGGTGGATTGAAGGTCCTAAGTTTCAGATGACCTGTTGGAGGCGTATATGTATGAACAAGAAGTGCGCTGATTGCATCAGCTAGAAGTCAGTTGTTGCAGAATTGCGAATTTCGATTGCTTTGTCGCAAATTTTGGTATGAGTAGCCGTGTTTGTAACGTACAGTCTGTATATTTCCTACAGTTCTTTCATAATTAAACCAGTTCGTTGTGAGCGCCCGTCCCATCTACTCGTCTCCTGTGTCTAGTTTCTTGCACCCTACTTTTTATTTCAAGAAAATGCACCAACTTGTCCTGAAATGGATTGTATTTTGTTCCAGCAAAGTGGGAAACTAGCCTAACCTAACCTTGATGATGTGCAAGTGTCATTGCACGTTTGTTCTTTTATTGCTCAGGCACTAAGGCCAATGACATTCCTGCTATGCTTTTCATGGCATGGAAGCAGCTCAACTTTACAGCTAATTCTTGACAAATTACGGGGGCAGAGAAAGTATCCTTGTAGAAAACTGTATAGAGACTATGCATGTAGCTAAAGGTCTGTGACAAGGAGTTTGCAACTTACTGAAGCACTGCTTGTTTGTGAGCTGTGTGCCAAATGCAGTTGCATGCACAGTGAAGCAGCAGAAGTGCTTCGGTGTGGCTTTGCTCGTTGTGCTTTTCATGGCATTGCTCCTGCTTTTTGCTCGTGGATTGTGATATGGCAGTGTTTGGCGAAAGAGAAGTGTGCAATGAGTGACTTGAAGATTGAATGTGTCGTGTATTGCTTGCATTGGTACAGCGGTGCTGCTTGTATTGGCAAATTATGTACTGAGCTGACGCTTATGCAAAGAGCAGCTTTATATTAGTATAATCATGCCAATTTGAAAGCCATTGAAGGTGGCTCAAACAAAAGTGCATGCATTAGTGGCCGTAAACTGTTGCATTTCTATCTGTAAGCTCTGTACCCAATGAATAAAGGGTACATCTTCAGCTGCTAACATAAGCATGAAATCGCATCCGTGCTAACTGTATGTAGATGCCTGCTAAATCTTTTTATGGTGATCAGTGCTTCTGACCTCTGACAATGCAGCATGTCTAGCGCTTTATTCTTTATTTGAAGTATACCTGCAGCGCCCGAAGGCATTTAGCAGGGGGGTTACAGATTCGAAAGAAACAAATTTTCATTTACAGCAGACACTTGTACACTTGTGAGCCCATTCTACTCATGTATTGTTTTGACAAAAAAAATTTCCAGTCCTGGGACGGTATTCCCTCAGTTTAAAAGGATGATCAATTCGATTTGACAAATAATACGGCGTCTGTAAATACATATCCTTATTGATTCCATTTTTATTATTAAATATTAGATATAAAAGTTTTAATTGCAATTTTCTTCTATGCGATGAAAGCAGCTCCCAATTCAATTCTTGTTTCATAGCAGTAGAGCTTTCCCGCCATTGATACCGTCCCAGGACGAACCTTGCCGCCCTGTTCTGTATTTTTTCTATCTTATCACTAAGATATACCTGCGCCGGATCCCACACAGCGCAGGCGTACTCTAAGACTGGTCGTACACAAGTCAAATACGCACATTCTTTAAGTCGCTGATGCGAACATCGTAAGTTGCACTGAATAAAATTTAACACCCTTGCAGCTTTCGCGACAACATAATCAACATGTACATTCCATGAACAGTCAGAAGAAAAGAACACACCCAGGTATTTGTAAGTTGTCTCCGTGGTAATTGGCACGCCATTTATACAATATCTAAATTTGATCTTCTTTGTCTTCTTTGAAAAACAAAGGTTAATGCACTTATTAAAATTTAAAGACATTTTCCACGTTGTACACCAGTCATGAATACGCACCAAGTCATTTTGAAGTTGGGAGGAATCCTGCTCACTCTTAATTTTCCGGTAGACTATGCAGTCATCGGCAAAAAGCTGGATAGACGATGAGATACCAACCGAAATATCATTGATATAAATTAAAAACAACAAAGGACCCAAAACGAAGCCCTGTGGCACACCTGATGTCACGTCAACACAACTGGATGCTTTTCCATTCAAAACAACACATTGGCGACGATGCTTTAAATAATTTTCTATCTAGATTATCACATTTTGGTCTAAATTAAATAACTTAAGTTTTTGCAAAAGGAGCGCATGCGAAACCGAATCAAAAGCTTTTTGGAAATCAAGAAAAATACAGTCAATTTGCCCATTTTCGTCAATACTAGAGGATAAATCATGATAAAATTCAACCAGCTGCGTGGTACAAGATAGTCCTTTACAGAATCCATGCTGATTTTCAATTAACAATTTGTGGTGCGTTATATGTCGCATTATTTCCTTGTACAAGATGTGCTTGTCCTGTGAGTGGGTAATGTTCATAATGTAGCTAATTGTAAATGCAACATTTCATGTTGTAACTGGGTGTCTGTGTCCCATCTCATCAATAGCTGTCAAAATTTTCTCGTAAACATTGAGATCTCGGTGTTTTATTAAAAGATGCTTCAGGCACCTAGTGTTCAGATATTCCACTTTAAGGGAAGGGCAACTTGTGGTCGTGTTTAATATATGATTCCTATGTGGCAGACTAATGAAAGGAGATCAGGCAGAAAGACTTTTGCTCATCAAGGGGCAAAAAGTGGTATATCAATATTAGGTGAGATTACACAAGCGTCATGGGACTCCAAAGAAATTGGCCTGGGAGCAGGAGGAGAGGAGACAAAGGTGGTGACATGCGTGAGATCATCGTATTGAACGAAAGTAGCTGACAGCTCTCTATTTATCTGTACAGTACTAAATTAGTATAAGGTAAGACAAGATTCGATAATTTCAGTTAAGGAAGTGCAAATTTTTTATATTTGTGCTTTTCTTAAGTCCTGTTACACGTTTTCCTAAAGCAAGTAGTCGATAAACACACGCACCAGGACCTCGTCCTTCGGGCCATTTTTCAGAATAAAAAAAAAAGCCAATATGCGTGCGAAAGCCAATATGCTTGCCTGGAGTAAGCTGCATGCATTATAGTGTCCGGTAAATTCTGAGATTGTCCAAAGATGGTGTGTGCCTTTACATTCACATTTGTTCTTTGAAGCGTGTCTGTTGAACACACTCAGTTCCACCTTGTGTCCATCCTGCTTGTCAACATTTAGATACTGGGGTAAAGGTAGTACTCAGCGAGTGTAAATTTTATGGCAGCCATTGCACGTCTCTTGTAAATGTGAATAAATTTCAGCATTGTGCTGCATGCTAAAGCAGCAAGCTTTTTGTTGTCGAAACCCTTAGCCTTTTCAACATACATCTAGGAGTATCGGGTATGCGTCGACAAAGAGTTGCTCAAATGGGCATGAATAATATTTGTGATGCAACTAGAATTTCGTGCTTAAACTGTGTGGTGAAAGTATTGAGCTGAGCGGAATTACATTGCAGTCTTCGCTTTCTCTGTTCCTGCTTCAGAGTTCCAAGGACTGCGACAGTGGGTGCTGTTCTTTCATTTAATTATGACGGTATCACACATGTCAACATTGCAAAATCATTAAGATTGAAGCGTGGCCTGAGCAACGCCAATTTACTGAAAGAAGTTTCCCACGATGCACTGCAGATAGAGCTTTGTGACAGCTCTATTTGTGACATGTTTTTCATTCCATTAGTACCATTATCTTTTTTAGGTATTCTAAGTTTACCAGCTGATTATTTTTTGTTATATTCTGCATGCAAGTATACAAGTACTGTACCAGAATTGCGAATATGCACTTGCCAGTTGTTTTGTGGCGAATTTTGAAAGATGCAAATGTACGTGAAGTTTAGGTCCTAATTGTTTTACCGGTGTAGTAATATTAGTGAAATTTTGATGAATCTAGTACAGCTAAATGAATAAAAATATGTACGGCGTATAGACTCAGAAATGTGTGGAGTGCTAATTGGCCATTGTGGTGTTGCAGACATAAGCGTACCCTGAACAGCAAGAAGTATGGTGTGGACCTCATCCACTACACTCATGCAACAAACACCGCCATCCACAGTTCCACAAAGGTGGACGGTGAGTAGCATTCTTCATGTTGCTTCTCATGATGAGGATGGATTTTGGACTGTTGTTGTTAGAGAGTCAAGTCTCCTCGGTTGGTTGCTCGGCAGCTGACCTGAGCAGCACAGGTTCGATTGCTGCTGCAACAGTACTGTGCCCTTTCAAGGCACTCGAAAGACCCTCAGGTGGTCGAAACTCCGCAAAACCCACCATTCTCTCAGCCAGCGTCGCCCTGGGATGTTGAAACTTTATAAACCAGACAAGCTATCTTTTGGTGGTCACTGCTTTCTTGGAGACAGTCTTGCATCAGGTCATGTTGGCTTTAATATGTTGAGGCTCCTCCAGTGGAGCTATTTGCATCAGAGAACTCTGCAGTAAGTGCATGGAGCTTGGAACTAGGTAGCTCATAGACTTGACTTGAGAAGAATAAGTTTATTGGTACAAGATCATTATGCGTGCTGTCTGAAAAATCAGACAATGCTTCGCTAGCTACAGTACTTCTCTTGCATCCTGGGAATGCTACACTTGGAGACAACTTTTCTTTATTGGCACTGAAGGGAAAGCTACAGAGCCGAATCGCGTGCATCCTATCGTAAGCGAAGGTAGTTCTGAAGTAGCGCCTGTATTTTCATCATGAAATATAAATGTTGTTCCTTTATTTTCTACGTTGAGCTTTTTGAGACAGCACGAAGCTCGCACCATTAAGATTTTCATATTTCTTTTAATTTATCTGTTGTGGCTTGGCATTTTTGAACGCGGAAGAAAGTCTCGCCTTTTTACGTGCATCTCAAACGCTAAGCGGCGTCTGCATCTACATGAAATGCTGATGGTGCGCCTCTGTGAACTTTCTACAGCCTTACGAGACGAGCGCTGAAGCGGACTACTTCGTGTAGTGCTACATGTGCAGAAGCTCCGCCTCCGTAGCTTTCCCTTCAGTGCCAATAAAAGTTGTCGCCCAGTGTAGAAGCCAGTAGTAGGCATCATGTACCCTCAGTTAAAATTCACAGTCATCAGCACTGCATTTAAAAAAAAAAAAGATATAAAATGAGGGGCAGTGATCTGGACCGTAGCAAAATTGGTGAATGAATTTTTGTGTTGATTTATTTATACATAAGAACCACGCAACACAATCAACAGCCTGAACTTTTAAGTTGTCTGCGAGATGTTCTCTGCAGTCATTTCGCTGCAACTGAATTTCTGGAACAGAACTCCACAATCACCTCAACACTGATGCTTTAACTACAGCTGAATAGCTATGTTACGCAAGGAATTCATCTGTAATTGGTCACAGTTAATATGAAAATTAGAAGGCTTGTGCTATCTTCTGTGACTTGTTTAGACTTCTGGGCCGGTCTATTTCGAGCTTCTTATTCTGCCAAAGCCTGCTTTTATGCTAATCATCTCACCTCTGGGTAATGCTGTCTGTAAGGAGAAAAAAAATGGTTCAAAAGCTGAGCACTTTTGGCGAAATTGCTTGTGTAGTGCATATGCTACAACTTACTTGATCAGCCAAAGTTGAAATTTTGTTGTGTTGGCCTTTGTTAAGCAGTCATACTTCTGTAAGAAAATGAATGACCATTCAACAATACCACACTAGCAGATCGTTTCTGGCTCTGCTGAGTAGAGTGAAGCTCTCTTGAGTGCAGTCATGAGTGTTTCACTAACGCCTTCTTAGGCTCTACTTTCAAGCGTAGATCTGTATGATCTAAGCTATACTGTCTCGTTATCTGCCTCACGTTGGGTGGCCAAATTCACTCAGGGAATAAGCCGTAGTATCGTTCCGGTCTATTGTAGAACGGAGGGAGTGCAGTCGGTTGTTCACTAAAAGTAGACTGTTCTTTACAGCTCGTGTTGATCAAGCAGAGCTTGAGAGCCACCGTATTACACAACTGGTTGCCAACTCCTCCTCCTTTCTCCTGCAAGCTGGACTAGGTTTTTCTGTGATGTACATGGAATGTGGTTGTGTGCTTTAAATATATGATTTGTTTGGGCATGACTAACTTTAGAGTAGGTTTTTTTTAGGGCACCAGAAAACACCATTAGTGGCATAGAGTTCCTCACAAACTTACCTTGAGGGAAGTCTGGTGCTAATGAGCTGCTGGATCCAAGGGAATGACGGGATTTTTGAGCTTCAAATTTGACTCAGATTTGTATACCTTGAAGACACATCTGGCTTCCTATTAAAGTGATTGATTTCGTACTAGAAGGGCACGTAATAAGCTATTTCTTTTTCATAATTGCACAGAAGCATGTTTCATTTAATATTGCAATCTTTCCGCTTCGATGTGCAATTTTACAAAATGTAAGAAGTAACCAACGGCCGCTAAACTTGGTAGGGCAGGTGACAAAGCGAGCGTTCCCTCTGCTATTTTTATGTCGTCTGTTTCTTTCACCGTTTGGTTGTGCTGTCAAGGTAAGTGGACTCATTTTAGATTATAATACGTGTGAATGAGATCGGCTTATAAACATTGTTTTAGAGAAGCTTTATCTACGTGCCGAAGCCTCGCTCAACACCAGCCAACACAAGCCTTGCAGACACACATACCGTCATTCCCAGCGCTCCGACAGGGCCCCTTAAGAAATTCGCATAGACGGCGCCACACTTCCCTCTAGGTATTATTGTGCGAAACTCTATGATTTGCGGTCTCAAGACAAAGCCGTGAGTTGACAACACAATGTATACGCTCATTTAAAGGGGTCCGAAGTGAAGGGACGGCAGCCTGGTTATAATTTTTCCTAATTTTAGACATGCTGTTGGCCGAATATCTCGGTGCAATGTCCAGACCGTGATAATTGCAATTGACGTCCGTTTCTCAGTATCCTAAACAACCACGCAGCCCTGCTGGCTGTAGGCACTAGCATCAGTGAAACGTCATGGTAAGAGAAGTTATAAACAGAGTATTAGCTTTCTTTTGCTGCCAAAATAATAGATTTATAGGAACCTATGGAAGAAAAAATAACACAGCAATTTTTGTGCTCCGATGCGTGTCTACTGTGGAAGTACAGCAAATGATTTGCTTGGTTCCGCTTTCAAGTACATCTGGGCTTTGTCAGATGTTGCAAGGGCGGAAGTGCTGCGCCAATCGCTCCATGCTGCACCAATCTGACCAGCTGCGCCTAAACGGCAATTTGCACGTGCAACACCAAATTTAGTTGAAAGTTTTATCATGGGCCGAGCAACACACCTGGGCTACACGAAGGATGCAGCCGCATCCATATAAAGTTCCGTGTTCATATCAAACGTCGTATTTTGAATCATGCATGAATCTTGCACCACGTGGACACAATGCATGATTCTTGTCAAGGTGGCATTTTTGTGCATATCTCATTATGTGACTCTGTATATGTTTAAACAGCAAAGCTGGTTGGGAAACTATAAAGACAACAGTGGTGTTGCAAAAAACTGGCCTCACAGTTGCCGAGCAACCGCAGAGTGCGTGCTGTGCCCAGTGGTTGCTTCGGCAACGGTGCAGGGAGTGTTTTGCCATATAAATTGAAAAAATAAATAAATAAAAATTAATGTTACCGGCGTAGGGATGACTGCAATAGCAACAATTTGTACTGTTGTAATGGTGGCACGGCACGCGCTTCTTTCTTTATTTTTGTTGCCGCACCATTACGCGTGAAATGTTGCCTTGCACAAATTGTGCCAGAATGACTGGGAACCATCTAAATAATCTTAGAACCTTCTTATGAGAATACGTGCACAATGTGCACATTACAGTTTGTTCTGGAACTTACGCGGCCGCTAGCGATAACGCTGGAATCTTCGATGACACATGTATAAATACGTGGCATATATATATACATATATATATACATACATACATACATACATATATAAATGCGTGGCAGATTTTCGATGGCCGACGCCTATGTTCGCTACTATCAGTCTACAGCATGTATTGCTTGTAGAGGGACGTTTCGTTTTCCAAACACAGGTTAGCCCAAATAAAAAGTTCATTTATGGAAACAGCGGCTCCTGCCTTCGTCGACATCACGACACCGTGACAATATGAAGGCTGAGAACTAACTGTTTTGGATCTGACATCGCGACACTCACAACTACAAAACGCTGGTGTAAGAGAATAAGTACTCCGCTCCAGGGAGAAATGCTCTTATCGCACAATATCTTTCAGTTGAGAGCGCACCACGTAGAAGGGTTTACGAGCCATGCTTTGATGCTTGCAGATAGCGTGCGCGCCAGCTATTGCAACCACGCCTTTGATGAGAATCAAATTTCGCGGCTGCTGCTTGAGCGATCCCCCTTTTTTCTGCGTCTTTTCGTGCTTGTTCAAGACATGCGGCGTATTTCCTCTCTGCTTTAGCATTCGATGGCAGTTCTAAAACATGGTGGGAGGCTAATGCGGGCACTCTTCAAGCCACAGAGATTGGCCATCTCACTTAACCTCCGCTTGAGCAGCGCTCATCACTCAGCTTACACAATTCTACGTGCGGGTCGAATGTACGATGCGCGGGAAATAGTACCAACTTGTAGTTTACGAGGAACATGATGGCAACAGTGAAAACCCGTCGAGTGTCCATGTAATTCCTATGGTAATACAAAATTTTCACCTGATTGCTTGGCAATGGCACCTCATGCAAATTTCCTCGTGGTCCTCATGTCTGCTGTGTCACTTCAATGGATGGAACATGATAAGAAGGTTTTCACATTTAATTTTATAGAGTCCTATCGGCTCAGTACGAAAATAACATTTATTATATGGTGGCTTATCTATAGTCTTGAGTTGCTGTTCATATTGGATTCAGGGTTTTAATCACATTTTGAACGTTGCAACACTTTAGCATTAAATTTTTTCATTTGTGTGAGGTCTAGTCCAGAATGCAGCTTATGTTTTTTCTTTGAGTTTCCTTGGTTTAATCTTTTTTGTAAAGTGTAATAAATATGAATTTCGGGTAAGTCTGGTCACTTGATCAGCATTTGCATGCTTCGTAATAACCACTGAAGTTTTTTTGTTTACCAGAAAGCAAAAATTCGAATTAACAGTTATGTA